TAGTTGCACAAATTTCTAACATCAGGTGACAACCCTTGTCACATCAAAACTCCACACTTCTTGCTCAAAAGCTAATATGGATCATGATCATAAAAAAAAAAAAAGAAAGAAAGAAAGAAAAAATATGATTTTACCACAATCCAAACTTCAACCATGCAAAGACTAAAAAACAATAAAGATTAACCAAACCCACTTTTAGGCCCCACCCAAATATTCACCCCAATTTAATTGTTTGTTAGACTCAAAGGTTCAGAGTATGCTCAACCATAAGCACCAAGGATGTTTGTATTGGGAGGAAGAATGGCCTACAGAACACCAAAGCATAAATGAAACAACAAATAAAGAAGAATTAAAAAGTCCAAAAAAATTCCACAAAATTAAATCCAACATTCTAAACTGGACTTTAATAAACAATTTAAGTATATGAAGTTGCACCATGAAGATATTATACATTTTAACATACTGCATGTCATAGAAATCCCCAAAATTAAGGGCAACAACCTTCAAACAACAAAATATGAAATGGAAAGGTTGAAGCAGCTCAAAAGCACTCAAGGTTCTAAATTTACATAGGTAAGATGGAACGAAAATATTAAAGGATCCATTATTTATAAGTCTATGCCTACTGATAATCCAAGGACAAAATATTAATCATATGCATACTAGCTAGTCAACCTATTGAACTTTTTTCTTGACTGACTACTTATTGATTAGGATCATCCCCTTAGGTTATTTCTAAGAACATATTCTTTAAGTACGACCATTTTCAGTGGATGCATTCATGTCCAAGAGAATAGAAGCCCACAATGTTTTGGATGCCATAAACCATGCTGTCAATAGTCAATACTAATTAAATCTACCTTTGGCACCTTTTATTGAGAAAACAAGAAATAGAATATAGAAATCATAAATGGCTTCAGGGAAAAATAGAATAAAAAAAAATGGGAAAAGAAAATAATTATAGCTAATGCTACTTGCTCTACCTGATACTGGAGATTTGATGGAGTTCCCAAAAAGCCCTCATACAAAACTACTGTTTTAAGTATTGGTGATCTTTTAATCCGCTGTTTGGTGTCTAGTGCTGGATTCAGTAATTTGCGTATTGCATACAAAATATTTGAGGCAACTACAGTGCCAATACTGGAAATAAATCCAACACCGACAAGCTTCAAACCGCCGAAAAGTACTGATGCAACTCTATGATTCACATTCCAGTCGTTCCCAGCAATATTCTTTTGAAATGTGTAGACGTCCCCCGAACGCTCCCGGGAGGGTGAGCTCCCGTTCCGTTCATTTGGGGTTACTACAGCTCGGACTCTATTTGTGTCACGGTTCTAAATCTGAACCAAAGAGTCCAAATCCGGCAAATCGTTTTGAGAAACAGATTTTTGAAAAGAAGTGCCAAACATGGACTGCTTTGCCAGATACAGAGTAGCCACCTAAATATTTTTTTTTAATGGGGAAATTTAGGAAACCCTGACTCGGTGCCGAAGGCCACATGTCCGTCATCACCGGAGTTGTCTCGGCTCGGGAGCTTGGGTACGATCGGGGAAGGTCAGCTATGAGCACCCCCTTTCGCCCGGTCCGAAGACCGGCCTCTACTAACCATGATATCCGTTTTTGAAAACGTTATGTGTTCTTATTCCAGTTGTTAGCCTAGAATTACTATGTTATGCGCGCAGCAAACAAGTATAGACTAGATCTCCTAATTTGGAAATAAGCATTGCATATCCGTTTATTTTGAAAAGTGCTTTGGGGTTTGCTACTCGCAAGTAGGCTAAAACACGGATTTCAACGAGTTTTTCCAACTCAAACAATCCAACCTTCACCCGCAGGCATCCAAACAAATTATAACACATAAGCATCTAGCCACATGTTAAGCATGCTATCATGGCAACATTCACACTCATGCGATATGCTAAAGCGGAAATACTTACATCGTACTCCGTGCCAAAACAATAAACTAGTTAGCAAATATGCATGTCCTAGCTCATGTTAAATTGCCTAATGCAACACATACAGGATGCAATCGAAGTAGGCTCGGCTAACCTAAACATGGCATATGAAATGCGATCAATTGATGTACGTATTCAATTTGGAATTGAAGTACAAGTGCAGTTAGCATGATGTATCGAGCCTAATGCATGCAATACAAATGCATGAATGCACGCATGCGTAGCATAAGGTATGCTAATTGAACATGTCCTATTACTAACCATCAAAGCAGGTAAGTAAAAGGGAAGAAAGAAGTGGGGATTGGAAGACATACATGCCACCCACGCACACTTATTACAGATTTGCCCTTACTCGGAGGGACCAAATAAATATTACAAATAATTAACTACGCAAGCTAATTAAATAATACAAATTGCCTAATCAACTAAGCGAAATAACTTTAAGCTAAGAAAAACAGGAAAATCGCCTCGGGAAACGCGCCGCCATGCGTGAGCTGCCTCTGTTTTCCTTCCTTCACTCCTCTGGAGGTTGCCAAAACCTCAGGACTACATCCTTGGACATTGGGGAGTGCCACCGGCTGAATGGAATTGCCACCGGCAGTGTGGTGTGGTCACCGGCACAAAATTAATTCATCGGCTGGTTGTTTACTGCCGGTCGGCAATATATGCTGCCGGTCGGCAAAGAAAGCCTACAGAACCTGCAACTCACAGCAACAGAGGGCAAGGCAAAGCATGGCAGCACAATTCAAGGCATGTATGCACTACTCATGTCCCTTATCATAGTGATGACTCAAAGGGGCATGTGCCTCGATTCTCGGACCACCAATCACGCATTTCCATGCATGATGGCCCAAAGAACCAAGTATGCAACTTTCATGTCAAATGAAATGCAAACCAATCAAACAAACTAAGGTCCCAATCCCTATCACCAAATCAAGGGACAAGGAATGCATGTTGATGAAAGGCAACCTAGGCATACAAGCTAAGGATGCAACATGGCATGGCAAGGCACTTATGCAAGCATACAAGCACACATTAGGCAATGCAAATGGATGAAAAGATGGATTTAGACATGATTTAGGCAGCTCTAATAAGGCCCAAAACAGTAGCCAAAATGACCAAAACAAAGGGCCAAAACACATACACATATGCACATAATTAAGGGCCAACACTTAGGCACAAGTGAGGCAACTCTCAAGCACACTTGAAAGAGGCATAATGTGGACTAATGGCATGCAAAGTAAGCATTGAAAATCATGTTAAGATGGTGTCAAACCAAGCAACAAGATAGGCGAAACATTAGCATACAAATGGTCCAAGTACTTGAAGCAAGTCAAAGGGGCTTGAACCATGACTAAGCCAACCAAGCCTCATAAGGCTAAGAGAACTTAAAATAGGTTCAAGACAGACCTAGGCCATGCAAAGGGGGGTTCTTAGATGGCATCTAAGTGGCTCGATTTCAAAGCATGCACAATGGCCAAAACATGGAACATGCTACACAAGCTTTCAAGGCATTAAAGATGCATCCAAGGTAAACATATAGGCATGAAAATGGGACTGAAATAACATAGTGAATGGTTCCAAATCACCAAATCAATGCAAAAATGCCATGCCATACATTCACACACTTAAGGCCAACAAGCCGGAATGCAAAGGGGTTATACTAAGCATGCCAAATCCGACCCAAATAACTATGGACAGACCTAAAACATGGCAAAATATGCACAAAACCTTCACAAGACTAAGCCTAAAACATGCTTGAACAAAGGCTAACAACCTAAGGCATATTAAGGCATAAACATGGCATTACAAGGTAGGTATGCTAAGCATGCATGGTGTACCAAAACCAACAAAAAACAGAGGTATGTTATGACATAATAGGCACAAAAAACAGCCAAGGCATGGTCAATACACACTCTAACATGGTGCTCCCTCAAGAGGCCAAAAATGGTCCATTTCAAGGACAACAAGGGGAGGGGGTGGCCCTCCCCTTTTGGAGACTTCAAGGCACCATCTTCACCACTGAAATCTTGAGGGATTTCAGTGGTGAAGAGGCCCAAACACCAAAGTCTCAAAACTTGCACAAAATAGCACAAAATGAGGCCTTTCAAGGCCTAGGAGGGGTCAAACACCTCTAAACCACAAAACACTCTTAACAAACAATTTAGAGGGCCTAAAAACAGAACTTTTTTGTATTATACACCAAGCTCAAAAATGATTTTAAGATAGGTAGAAATACAACGCAAGATTGGGGAATAAAGGGACTAGATTCTTACCCTTGAAGACCCCTTCACAAATGATGCTCCAATGGCCCTCCTTGGCTTGAATCCAACTCCAAAACTTCAAAACCAACCTCCTAGAACCTCAGTAGCTAAGTGAAGGTGAAACACTAGGTGTTTGTGTGCAATAGTATGGACTAAAACACCTAGAACACAAAGAGAGAAAAAGAGAGATAGGATATGTATGGATCCTAACCCTAAAAACCAGAGCTTCTCTCCGTGTTTTTTGTCTCTAAAATGTCTAAAGTCTCTAACCCTTGAGCCAAGAAGAGGAGGGTTCCTCTTATAGGCAACCAAACTTGTAAAACTTACAAGTTAAGCCAAACAAGAGGGTCATCCCTCCATACACGTGTATGGAGGGAAAGTCACTGCAATACAGCTGCCTAAAAATATCTCAAAAAGCAACTGCACAGTAACCGGCCGGCAAAGAATGCCATCTTGGCAAAAAAGAGTGCCGACCGGCAGAAAACAGTGCCGACCGGCAATATAAGATGCCGACCGGCAAACTACAGTGCCGGTGGAATCAAAAACCAGCCGGTGGCCTCTAGCCACTGCCGGTGGTGTGTGGGGATGCCTCACAAGGCATTCCCTGCCCTTCCAAGGCAAGATGCAAGTGTTTGGTGCAAAACCAGACACTAAACGGTCGAATTCGGAGATCCTGAGGCAAGGCGCGTAGCCGAGGCCTCCGGGAACTCCAAACGAACACAAACATGGATGATCACCGAGTGTTCAAACGGTGACGTCCAAGTCTTGAGGACGGTCAAAAATGGAGTGTCTACAAAATGCATTATCAAGTATGGAACCAAGTAAGCCCTTTAATGCTTCCATGTTGTCCAGTGTATCTATTGTATCTCCAATTGAAAGAAAAGACAAGGTTGGAGCAGGAAGGCATACAGTGAAAAAATCAACAACTGATCCCCTGACAGTATCCGTAATAACATAGTCAAGCTTTTCAAAGAAATTTTCTTTACGCCTTTCATACTATGCTAAGAGAGTAGTTGTAATTGATATAGCTTCTTCTATAGCTAGTCTATGTAAAAATTTGGGATCTGCCAATAATCTCTCCCTAAATCCCTGCAACATCAAGGCGTTTGATGCTCAACTTTGAGTCCCTAGTCGATTGTACTTTATCTATGTTTATTAATTGCTTAATCACCAAGTAGATAAGTGAATAGTGAGGGTTCCACGTGCACATATTGTAAACTGACTAAAATAAATGATGGAATAGGTTTAAGGTCAACAGCCTTTAAATCACACACAAAAGAAATTGCCAAAACCAAGCATACCTGGAATCAATGAGTTAGTTCTGAAATAAAAGGATATTGCTCCAGATCAAAATAATTCTGCAGGACTTCCGGAGACACCACACCATGATCAAGTCCGTTTTGAAGGTCCTGATAAGAACACATCAAAATATTCAGTCCATCATATAAAAACTCCCTTGCCAATTTCACCTTCAGTAATGGCATAAAATATTGTTCTGGAAGATTAGGCTATATGATATGCCAATATCACATTGAATCTTCTTTTTGGAAAAAGAAAACCATGAACATATTATTAATAATAATTTCATCTCTATCTAGTTCCAAGACATTTTTCCTTTCAATAAAGAAAAATGCCATTCCCTTAATTCATAAAACCATTGTTTTCAATCAAGTAATTGTTACAGCTTTGATAGCTAATTCAGACATATCTTTTGATTGTCATTCTTTCTCTTGCCAGATTTAAAAAAATAAAATAAAATAACTTTTTCTCTCTAGTTCAAATCATCACTCTAGGCTTAAGTCTCAAGACGTGTTATATCTAAACCTAAATTTAGGGGAGAAGTGACTGGAGTTTGGCTTTATTTGAAAGTGAGAGATTGCAGGAATTTCATAATGGTGTGTGGAAATTTTAGGAAAAAAGAACTTCTGGGTTTTGGAGTCGATTTAAAGTGCAAATTTAGTAAGGAAAGGATTAGCTCATGGAATATAGGCTTTGGAATGAAACAAAAGAAAGAAACTACGGCAGGTTTGTGATTGAAATAACAGAATCTAATAGCAGAGAATTAAAGACAGAAGAAAATGAAGAAGAAAGAGAAGGATCTTATGGGAATCCCACTTTGATTCTTTAGGAATTACTCTCCAAGGTTGGGTTGTATCACAAAATAGCACAATCTTTAATTATCAAAATCCACTCTACTGAGTTGAAGAATAAGTGTTGCTATGTTTAGGTTGCTAAACTCCTACTTCTACTAAGATTAGGATCCCAAAAGTGGAAAACTTGACCTGTAACACAATCCTCGACCCACATTATATACCACATGTGAGCATTAAATTTGGTTGACCAAGAACATGGCCTGTGTACTTACTATATCACATGCCAATTTAAAAGTGACCAGAATGTAATGACTTGAAACTAAACATAAATACTCAAAATTAACCATTACATAGTAAAGTTCGAAGCATGTCCATGTGAAAATCTCCAATTTGTACCTTTACTTATTGTGTTCTACACCAACAATTGTGTTAGAGCCTGATAGGTGTACACACGTTCTTCAGGACAGTTTGTTCATATGGGGTAATGAGTTTTGGCTGATTTTACACTGCCTCTTTGTCTCTGTCCTGTTCCTGCTGTTCTTTCTTTTTTCATTTCCTTTTCCTGTTTGAAAAGTTTGGAATGTGGAAGCAAAATGATTTAAAATGGGTTTTTAAATCTCAACTTTTAGTATATAGAGAACATATTAGCACATGCCTCACATTTTATCACAACATATTGGAATAGCAAGTCTATAGTTCAAAATCAGAATTTGAAATCAATCACAATTTTCAGTTTAGCACACTAGAGAACTAACAGACCCCAGACTGAATCCAGTTTTCTAAATAATCCGTAGCAGCCATTTCCTATAATCAAAAAATGACAGAGTCTGACCACTGCATCCATCACTGACTTACACCTCATTTGTTCTACAAACATGAACAAATGCTAGGGGAACATTTGAAAAGTTGCAAAGGAGACTTACAATTGAGGGAAACAACTATGTATAGAAGTTTAGGATACATCATAGAGGTGTACATCACAGAGATGGCCCAAAGCCAAACAACATATTCGTCATCATCCAATTTAGGGTAGTTCTTAATAAAACACAAAATCAAAAGAGGGAAACAAAAAAAAAAAAAAAAAAAAAAAAAAAAAAAAAAAAAAAAGAAAAAAACTAACTAGATGATCTGTTTGGTCCCCAAGAAAACACTCTGTTTGGTAGCCAAGAAAAGAATCTAAAAAACCCAGAAAATTTACCTGTGTTCTTCTTTTGTCCACGGAGTTCCTTTCTTCCTCTCGACCTCACCGTGTTTTGTCTTTGCTGCCTACTCAAACGAAGTCTGACTCCTCTTTGACTCGGTCTCCCACTTGAGCCACTACTCGTCAGAATAACTCTGCAACTCGATTCGACCTGACTCAATCTTGATCGCAAATCTCTGAGAGAGAGAGAGAGAGAGAGAGAAGAGAAGAGATGAGTATGAGTGTGTACCTTCCCTTATCTTCCTGCCTATGCCCGATGCTGTTGAGTGGAGTTGTTAAAATCAAAGCCGCAAAGAGATGATGAGGGAAACGACAATGAATGCCGCTGTGGAGCCAGTTGTCGTACCGGCAATGGATCCCCTTCGAACCAGTGTCTGATGATTAGAATCCATTAGAAGCCCAAACAGTTGATGTTTATTTGCCAAATATTTTTTTTTTGGTGAATTGGCGCCAGAAATTTTATTTTGGCACCTCTTTGTTTTTTATCATACAATTTACGACATACATTATCCGTCATAAAAATTGTAATACTTTTAACGACAAACGTTTCGTGCGTCGTAAAAAGGCAGTACTTTTAACGGCGGGCATTGTGTGCGCTATGAAAAGTTTTCACTTATGCGCGTCATGTATAATTGATATATTAACGACACGCCATATGTACGTCGTTGAAAGTTTTATTATTTACGACGTGCATTGCAAGTAGTAAAAAAATCACCTTTATTATCATTCACGGCCTATGCAATAGACACGCCGTGGTTGGAAAAGTATTTACGACGTGCAAAAAAAACAAAGTCGTAAAAGTGGGAAAGTATGACGTGCATTTATTGTATGTCGTTGATGTGGTACCGTAAAAAGTCAGTTTTGCTATAGTGATGTATATTTCATGACTCAAATGATCTTGTATAATGGACATTCGGCCAAAGGAAGTAGTATTCATGAGATCCAAGGAAGTGAAGTGCAGTGAAGTTTATGGCCATCCCTAATTGTTGGTTCCAAGCCATGGTTGAATGCTGGATCGTTCGCACTGGTGCATAAATTCGCAGGAGATTTCATCACGTCTAGAGAGAGACATGAAGTAGGTTTGAAGCTACAACTAGTCCGTCAATAAAGGAAGAGAAGCAACATAAGAGCAAAGCCAACTTTGGGCACAAGTGGGAGAAGCCGCTGGTTTGGACCCCAAAACATTGACTAAAAAAAAGGTCTTAAATTTTTATTAATTATTGTATTGATCTATAAAAAAAATTATTAGAATTTAAAGAGGCTCCTAGTTATGATTTAAAACTAATAGATGGTTGATATGATAAATTATTCAAAAATAATAGATAGTTATTTTTTGTCAGAAAAAATAAAAAAACTCATTAATGTGGTGAATTGTTTGAAATTATCGAATGATTATTTTCTAAATATACGGATTATATATAGAATATAATTAATTATACTATTTGCGGTTACTCTTTTCAAATTAAAGTTGATTAATTCTTATATTTACTCAACTATGTCAAATGAAAGATTAAATGGATTAGCAATTTTATCTATCAAAAATGATTTAATTTATAAATTGGATTATGCGAACTAAATTAATAATTTTACATCTAAAAATGTCAAAAAAATTGATATTTAAGTGCTTTTTCTTATAGTTTGTTTACTTTTTATTAAATACTTCAATTTAGATTATTTTGGACTTGTTCTTAGAAAGGCCACAGCTTCTCTCCAGTCCAAATCTGAACTGGACGGTGCTGTCCGGCCCTTGGGAGCTCACTACGGGTCGTGTTTCGATAATTTAAACCGTTCAATATGTAGAACTCGTCGAGTACTATATGCCTGTAAAAAATCACGTTGATCGGATATCGATAGCTATATGATCAAATCAGTTTTTTATGAAAAAAAATAGACGGCGAAAAATAAACGGCTTACAAAAAACTGATTTGATCATATAGCTATTGATATTCGATCAACGTGATTTTTTACAGGCATATAGTACTCGACGAGTTCTACACATTGAACGGTTTAGATTATCGAAACACAACCCGTAGTGGGCCCCCAAGGGCCGGACAGCACCGTCCAGTCCAGATTTGGACCGGAGAGAAGTTGAATCCTCTTAGAAAAATACTTAATTTATCCTAAATAGATTTGTATAATGGATATTAAATTGATAAAGTATAGGGTCTATAAGTAAAATAAATTTGAACCATTGATTTGATAAATTCTGTACTGATAAGTGTGGATTTGTAGTTTTTTTTTTTGTTATAAACTTTAATGTATCCTTAAATAAATTTTAATAAATATATATATTGGAAAAAGGTTGAGACTAACCCCTACTATCCCTAATGTATTGAGATAGACTAATTTTTTATTTTTTTTCTCCTATCACTTACTGACATGTGTCTGTGAAGGTTATGAAGATCAAGGAAAAAAAAGGTCTCTATCATTTCTGATATATATACTATAAGTAATCACTATCAAACACACAAAAAATAAAATAAAATTCGACATAATTATTTTAAAAAAAATATATATATGAATGTTGGGTTCCGTATTTTTTTAATTGTATTTAGATTAAGTGGATTTAAAAATTAAAAAGTTTGATTAAATGTTCAAAAAATTCACTAAAAATAAAAAAATTTGAGAGTACTATATGCCTGTAAAAAATCACGTTGATCGGATATCAATAGCTATATGATCAAATCAGTTTTTTATGAAAAAAATAGACGGCGAAAAATAAACGGCTTACAAAAAACTGATTTGATCATATAGCTATTGATATCCGATCAACGTGATTTTTTACAGGCATATAGTACTCGACGAGTTCTACACATTGACGGTTTAGATTATCGAAACACAACCCGTAGTGGGCCCCCAAGGGCCGGACAGCACCGTCCAGTCCAGATTTGGACCGGAGAGAAGTTGAATCCTCTTAGAAAAATACTTAATTTATCCTAAATAGATTTGTATAATGGATATTAAATTGATAAAGTATAGGGTCTATAAGTAAAATAAATTTGAACCATTGATTTGATAAATTCTGTACTGATAAGCGTGGATTTGTAGTTTTTTTTATTATTATTTTTTATTATAAACTTTAATGTATCCTTAAATAAATTTTAATATATATATATTGGAAAAAGGTTGAGACTAACCCCTACTATCCCTAATGTATTGAGATTGATTTTTTTTTTTTTTGCTAATCATTCATTGTGCCTGCGAAGGTTATGAAAATTAAAGAAAAAGAAGGTCTCTATCAAAGACAAAATTCCACATTTGGGGAGGGGAAAGAGAAGAGGAGAGGAGAAGACTACACAGGGAAAAAGTGAAATAAAAGAGGAGAGAAAAAAGCAGAATAAGAGATGGTAGCGCAACAAAGGGTTGGTTTGAAAAGCGTGTTGGTTTTTTGTTTTTTAATTTTATGGTTATGTTAAAGATTATTTGAGTAGTGTTAGATTAGTATATTTTTTTATTTTTTATAATAAAAAAAACGTGAAATATAAGTTAAGTTTGAAATGATATGATAGAAATGTGATGTGACTTAAATAAAATAATTGTGTTAAAATAGCAGTCTGAGGTTAAAAAGTCTTATTTGAGGAGAGTTTTTGATATTTTTAACTTTTGTGAAAGAAAGAATGTAATGATTATGAATTAAATATATTATTTTATCTTATTAAACTAAAAAATATATTTTATTTTTTTGTGACTAAAATAATCTCAAATTCAATCTCACCCTTCTTCCCAGATGAAGCCAAAATGTATACAACACTGACTTCTTTGTTAATTAGTTGGCTTTCAAAACAAGGGACACCCGAAGTCTAGATACAAAATTAATTATAGTATTATTTTCAAGTTCAAACTCGCAAATCTAGTTTTTGGGATTGTTGGTGATATTCTTTCTATGATAAAAAAATAAAAACAAAGATAGCATTTGGTTAATTTTAAAATCTTTGGGGTTTGGGGGATCCAAAACAATAAAAAATAAATAAAAACAAAGTGAAATAAAGGAGGAGAGAGAGGATGGAAAGGGAAGAGAAGAGGAGAGGAGACGACTACACAAGGAAAAAATGCAATAAAAGAGGAGAGAAAAAAGCAGAATAATAGATGGAAGCGCAACCAAGGGTTGGTTTGAAAAGCGTGTTGGTTTTTTGTTTTTTAATTTTATGGTAATTTTAAAAAATAAAAAAAATGAAATATAAGTTAGGTTTGAAATGATATGATAGAAAGGTGATGTGATTTAAATAAGATGATTGTAACCTAAATAAGATAATGTGTTAAAATAACAGTCTGAGGCTAAAAAATCTTATTTTGGGAGAGCTTTTATCTTGAATCCTTTTACACCTTGCGCAAGGTTAGCTGCATACAGAGACAGCATGTTCCTAGTGCACGTGCTATAGCTTGTTGATTAAGAAAGAAAATGCCTATTGACTTTCTAACTAATTGTCTCTTGATGTTCTTATTTGCAGCCCGTAGCATCCACAATAAATACATTGGCTGGTGCCCTCTATAAGGTGTTTTGTGCTTCACCCGATCAAGCAAGAAAGGAAATGCGTGAAGCTTGCTTTGATTATTTAAGCCTTGGAGGTGTTTGTTCGACAGGACCAGTGTCTTTATTGTCAGGATTAAACCCTCGCCCATTGACCTTGGTTCTCCATTTCTTTGCCGTGGCTATATTTGGTGTTGGTCGCTTGTTATTGCCATTTCCCTCTCCTAAACGCATGTGGATTGGAGCCAAATTGATTTCGGTGTGTTAACTTTTTTTTTTTTTTTTCTATTTAAACCAAATTTTTTTAGCTGAATGTGTTCCATTCTTAAATTCTAAAATTTCTGTGTCATCACAGGGTGCTTCTGGTATCATCTTACCGATCATCAAGGCAGAAGGAGTGAGACAGATGTTTTTCCCCGCTACGGTTCCTGCATATTACAGAGCTCCTCCTATGAAGTGATGGTGTGAAAACTGAATTATGGAATGACCAAAAAAACAAAAAATTCAAGCACTTCAGAATTAGGGAACAAATTAAACAACCGTTATACTGTCAAGACTGGCTAGTTCTTCAAAGCAAAAGCTTTCCCTTGTTCTGTTCAAGTTTTAGGGGTTTAGGTTGATCGCTTTGTTGTGTAATTTTGTTCTTAAGACATTCATTTTAGTGTGTTGATTACATTTCTCATAAATCAATTTGCATATATGTATAATTTTTTCCCCCCTCTCCGCAATGCTCATTTCACTGTATGGTTAGAATTTTCATGACTGAAAATTAATGTAATTGTTAAATCTAGTAGAAAAAATATTATTGCACCTCAAAAACAAGAATATTTATATACATTTTATTTTCAGTCGAATGAGAAGTGGTGTTGATGATACAAGAAAGAAATTTCTTATGAATTTCCTAATCTCGGCGTGAATGGCCTGCCTTTGGCTAGACCGGGAAGGGAATTGGTTGAGATGTGCGTAAGTTAAGTTGGACCGGACACTTGTTCAACCAAAAAAAGAAAAAAAAAAAAGAAAAAAAGGAAGGCTTCTTTGTGGCCTTTAGTGACCTAGCTGTGCACAAATCTGGAATGCCAAGTCCTTATTGTGGTTGCTTAAATTTTATTTCCTTTAAATGTGTCGGTAATTTTTGCTAATTCAGTCACCACACGATTAACAACAAAGAGTAAAATCTGACACAGTTAATACTTAACAGTTCTATTGAAACTCCAAAATTTCAATACTAAAATACTCAGAACATCTTCATTCAAAATGCTTTTAGTTGGCTAAGCCAATGTTACAAAATTCTCAGTTTGAACCTCATCTCCATTTCCGTTTTGTGGGAAAGCAAGATTCTCCACGAAAAAAGTGTCCTCTGCTAATGGTACTTTTTAAGGACTACTATCCCCAGTGCACATGACTGGCTGGCTGTCATTTTTACCTTTCCAGTTATACCCTCACTAGTAATGGCTAGAAATGGGCCAGAAACCCCCTGCCATGAGAGGATTCCCGTTGAGGTCTATTTTGATAATTAAAAAAAAAAAAAATTTTTGTTTAACTTTTTTGAGTTATATTATTTTTTTATATGTGTTTAAATATTTTTAAAAAAATTAAAATATTTCAAAAAATACAACACACAAATGTATTAAATGCAACACACAAAAGACAAAATGAATTAATATTTACTATAAAAAATATTTATCCTAAAAAAATAAATCCAAAACAATTTTAAAATACAACTCAAAACTCATTATTTATTTCAAAACTCATAACTAAATAAATTTTCTCTTTTCAAAACTCATTTCAACAACTTATCTTTCAAAACACAAATCCACACCAAAATCATGATTCTAAAATTATATTAAACGAGTCAAAGGATTATGTTAACATGTGCCCTAAGGGCAAATGATAAGGAATGCATTAAATTAGAGCATCTCCAATGAAGTTCTCGAAACACTTGCCAAAGCTATAATTTAACAATAGTGATAAAAAAAATGGATCTCTAATAGCTTGCTATTTTACTTGCCAAAGATGGCATATGCCATATCTGTTCTCAAATTTGGCAAGTAAAATAGCCACTGCCAACATGCCACATCAGCAAATATGAACATATTTGTAGCTCCAAATTCAGTTGAAAAACCAGAATTGAAATAGTAGAAAACCAAGTAATTTTTCAAATTTAATTTTTCTATTTAATTTTTCAAATTGAATTACATTTAATTTTTCTTCTAATTTTTCAAATTTTTTCATTTTTTATATTTGTCTAATCGGGAATAATATAAATATATAATTTTTTTTACAAATAATTAAAAAAGGTCATGAAAGACAAAAAATAAACAAAAATAAAATCACAAAAAAACTTATATCCAAACAACACCTACAAACTATGATGGAAAGTTGGTTGAGAATTGTCAAAATAGCAAGTGACCATTGGAGTACCATTGTTATAATTTGACAAAATAGCTCTATTCATTGCCAAATTATAGCAATAACAGGTATTATAGCAACAATCATTAAAGATGCTCTTACTTCAATTTTATGAGAAGTAGGAAATCATTAAAGATGCTCTTACTTCAATTTTATGAGAAGTAGGAAAAGCTTTTAAAGCTGTTAGGATTAATGATTCTTTTTTTACATAGAGACCAAAATACCCTCATATTTTCCTTAATTTCATTCATTAATTTGGCTTCTATTCCTTTATTTTATTATAATTATATATATTTTTAATTTGTAACGTATAGACTGATTATATAATTTAAATAAAGTATTTTTTAGTACTATTATGCTTTTTTGATGTACATGTATGTGAACGATGAATCAAGGTCCTCTCATTGCATTTTCTTCTTGACTTCTTACTTGTTGGGTTATTAGGCTCACTTTTGGGCCCAATTTTGATGATCCGAACCGTTCACATTTTAAGATTTGTTGAGTATATCATACCCGTAAAAAATCATATTGATCGGATATCAGAAAGCATGTGTTCAGAAAATTGTTTATCAAAAATGACCCAAAGAAAATGGGATAAAAAATAAATAAAAAGATAGAAAGGAAGAAAAAAAAAGAAAAAAGAAAAAAAGATTTGATAGAAAACAAAATACTTCAAAATGCTAACTTTAACAATATTCTTCAATCGCTTTCCACGACAAGGCTTTCCCTTTCCTCTCCTGCATATTAATGTTGACATTTTTGTTTCTGTTTCTCTAAAGCTTTGTATCCATTATGTATTTGACTTTAGAAAATCCTTTTAGTGCTCTTTTGTGGTTCCTATTAGTATCCTCTATATATAAGTTGTGATATTACTGTTAAGTTAAATTAATAATGCTTAAGAATTGCATCGAGTGAATTCTTTCCTTTCCTTTTTTCTTTTTAATTTTTTGAATTTACTTGCAAGTATGTGACTGTTTACTTAATTCAAAGGAAAACTTCTCTACTTACTTTGAGATTTATTACAGGTGTGGTTCAACAATGTACCCCATATGCGCCTGGTTGAAGATAAAGGAGGCCAAAATTGGATATCAAGAAAAAACGATAAATTTATATTTCCAGGAGGTGGAACACAGTTTATCCATGGGGCAGATCAGTACTTGGATCAGATTTCCAATGTTGGCTACTTCTTCATTTCTACTGTGTTTTATATTTTATTTAGATGAAATTAACCCTCATTTTACGATTTGAGCATGCAGATGGTCCCTGGCATTGCATTTGGGCAAAACACCCGAGTTGCCTTGGATGTTGGTTGTGGAGTAGCAAGTTTTGGTGCCTACTTACTCAGTCGTAATGCGACCACTCTTTCAATAGCACCAAAAGATGTTCATGAGAACCAGATTCAATTTGCTCTCGAGCGAGGTGTGCCTGCCATGGTGGCTGTATTTGCAACACACCGTCTGTTGTATCCTAGCCAGGCATTTGACTTGATACATTGTTCAAGATGCAATATTAACTGGGCTCGTGATGGTATACCTTTGCAATTTAATCTTTCAGTATTAAGATGAAATAATTATTAATGATAGGCGCATTTTTTTCCCCTGTGCCTTCTCATCATTATTATGTGGTCAATTCATGTATCCAATACCTACTTCATTTTCATTTTTTATTAAGGTGCATCAGAACTGTCTTTTCTTCTTCTTTTTTATCTCCTCCCTCTGTTCCAAAATATTAGTCCTTTCTGGGAATCTAATTTTTTTTGGTAGTACAATTATTATACTTCAAAAATATTAATTTCCAAAACTACCCTCTTTTTTTTTTGGGGAAACATCAATTGTCAATTGTACTTCTTGTGTATATTAATATTAACGAATTTAATAGAAGAGCAAAATAGAAAATTTATGTCATTTTAGTCCTTAATTTTTCGCAAGGGACCAATATTTTGGGACGTTGGGAGTAATTGTTGAAGGAATGAACATGTCTTATATTTGGTGGATGCTGTTCCTGCCTTATTGATGTTAATTGTCCTTTTTTTGTTTGGTTGTTGTGAAGATGGAATTTTGCTTCTTGAGGTCAACAGGATGCTGAGGGCAGGGGCACACTTTGTTTGGGCAGCACAATCTGTTTATGAGCATGAAGATAACTCGCAAGAACAATGGAAAGGTAAGCATCATGTCCAAACTAACTTGTAAAAAAACTAGAACCTAGAAAAGGAATCATGTCAAAATTACTAAAGTACATTGGTCAGGAACTATTGAATTCTACCTTGCTCACGGTGGGTGGAACTTCTTCTAAAATACAGTTAAAAGGTTATTAGTTTTTTTTATTATTATTGTGAATATTGTGTAATTCTGAAGTTATATAGAGCTGTGTGTATATGTGTTTTACTCATTTTTGTGATATTTTCGTTTTTCTGGTTTCTAGCATGATGGTATGACATTGCATCTTCTTCTCTTTCCTTGTATCATATCTCTTCATTGCTGATTCCTGACCTTAATTGTGCACAGAAATGGAGAACCTTTCTTGGCGTACGTTTAATTTAGCAATAAAGAGGGAAGGGTACATTGCTATATGGAGGAAGCCTCTGGGCAACAACTGCTATGTTAATCGGCATCCTCAATTACAACCTCCTATATGTGAAGCCAATGACGATCCAGACAATGTTTGGTATGTCCAACTTTACCCCCATTGAGTTTCAACGTTACATGGAAACTGCCTTTATAATTTGTTTGAGCATTTTTATATATAGACCAACATTTTTGTATCAAGCATCCATATCAAATTCATATCGATCACATGAATGATCAAATGTACTCATCAGTCTTTGATCCCGAGATGTTGATACACAAAGAAAAGAGATTGATTTTTCTAAGGGCAATGAGATTTCATTTTGGTTAGGGTAGCAGAAAATTGGGGTTTGGTCAAATAGCCAAGTGCCATTACTTTTGGATGTCTGTTAGTAATGTCTCTGACTTGACTTGGACCTGAATATTGCACAGAACTGTCAGAAAGACAAACTTTATTTATTTAATGGCTCTACAAAATCAGTCAACTGGCTATTTGAGAATTTAGCATGATAAATTACGTTTGGAACCTGTTTAATCCCAGAGTTTGCAAGGAACTATATTCTTCAAAAACTGTATTTCTAGTTCAGATAGAATTAATTGGATTTGTGAACAAAATATGCTGACAGCATGCACTTCAGGGAATGACGGATGTATGGTTTGAATTTTTCACACATTTACATATCAAGATATCAGTAAAATTCTGGTTTGGGGTAAATTGACACATTATTCGACAGGGAAAACCAAATTCCACAAAAACAGAAAAACGATCAAGCAATGTGGTTGAGTTCTATGCCTTAATAGATTTAAGGACTTCTTTGGAGTATGTCGATTGATTGAAACAAACTAAAACTGATAGTGTATTACTGAAATTGTCACTTGTTACAAGCTTTCAAACAAGAACAAATAACAAGAATACAAAGATAACCGATTGACTAAAAGCTAATTGGTACTCCTAGTTAAAAAGAGCTACTTCCTAGATAAGTGCTACTCTTAGTTTTCAAGTTTGTGAATGGTTTTGAAGATCCTCTACTTTGAATTCGCCAGCTTTTGTTCCTTTGCAGCTGGCCACAACTGCTTGCAAGCCACATGTTCCCTCCTTTATTCCTTTTGATAACGCAAGCATGCTCTCTCCACCATGTTTGGGAAGACCTTCATTGCTGTTAACTGTCTCCACTCTCTGTGAGCCACATTGCTTCTGGCTGCACCTTGAAACACTACTCTACTTCAAGGGACTTGGTCCACCTTGCACGTTCCTTACTTCAGATCAACCCATTCAATTCAAATTCTGAGCCATGTCAGCACCTCTAGTCAACAAGGCCCAATTCATTATTTTTCAGTTTACCAACACAAGACCTCTTCCTTTTTTATCCATCATACCTTACTAACATTGGGAAGAGAGAGTGTATGTGTTTGTTTAAATAATCTGAATGTTCCCTCTTCAGCTAAAAGCCTAAAACATCTTCATTCATTCACTAATAACACATGGAAAGAGAGATCAAATATCTATTTAAAGGAACAATCCCATATGAATTATTTACTTCCCTGTTGCGGGTATTCTTAGAATTGCTCCAAGCTTGTAACAGATTATTCAAACCCTACGTCCAAGTTGTTACACCATATCCTCAAGTCGATAATTTCTTACCCATGAATATAGTTTATCTTTTAATTAGTGATGAACAAAATCTTTTCAATTTCGACACAAAAATCTAAATACATTGATGCATTCTTGCAGGTATGTCAGTCTGAAGGCATGTATCACTCCGTTACCGGAGAATGGTTATGGGGCTAATGTTACTAGCTGGCCCACAAGCCTTCATTATCCACCAGACAGGCTACTTACCATAAAAATGGATGCCTACAATTCCCGAAAGGAAATATTCAGAGCAGAGTCAAAATATGGGAACGATCTTGTAAATGGTTATGTTAATGCCTTCAATTGGAAAGACTTACACCTACGAAACGTGATGGACATGAAGGCTGGATATGGAGGGTACCTTTCTTTTTCTTCTTCTTTTTCATCTCTTTATATATGTTTACCCTTCTCTAACTCTGGAAGAGTGCTTTTTAATTTTGACTGTTTGAATTCATATATCATGGGAACTTTGTTCATGGCAGGTTTGCTGCAGCATTACATGATTATGGGATTGATTGCTGGGTTATGAATGTTGTTCCTGTTAGTGGTTTCAATACATTGCCTGTTATTTATGACCGTGGGCTTGTAGGAGTTATGCATGACTGGTATGGGCAATGCACTTTTTCCACTTCTGGTTGAGAACAAATTCACTTTTCCTAATTCCATGTGGTTGGATAGCTCAGACCTCTTAATTATAATTTTTAAATCCTTCTTTCAAACTAAATCATCATCATTGTATCAACTCATTATAGATCAATGGTACTTATGCCTGAAGTTGACTCGAGGCATCTGAAAATTTTCACTATTTCAGTCCACTGAGATTCTATAACTTTAGAAGATCTTTAGAATGTTGGTTTTTAAAGCTTATCATGCTCTGCCTTGTGATATGGAATATGAAATAGTGGTTCATAACTCTAGATAGTTATTAAATCGTCCAAGAACGGCTTTTTTGTTACCGAACCATTTTCTGTTATCACACAAGGCACTGCAATGTGTGAGATTTTTCATTAATCCTCTTTTGGCTCTTTTAGTAAGATCTTCAAATCTGTCTCAGGTGTGAGCCATTTGATACTTACCCAAGAACATATGACCTGTTGAACGAAGCGGGACTCTTCTCTATAGAGGAAAGGTACAATTCTTGGTCTTTCTTGTTTGTAGTGCTTTATTTCATGCATTATACACCTTATATTTTTGGGAAGAACATTACTTTATGTAACACTAACTAAAATTGAAGCCGATGTAATATCTCAACAATCATGCTTGAGATGGATCGAATTTTAAGGCCAGGTGGGCATGTTTATATTCGTGACACTGACATTGTTATCAAAGAAGTTAAAGATATCGCAGCTGCCATGGGATGGGAGACCTTATTAGTTGACACCATTGAGGGACCGCATGCTACCTATAAGCTTTTGTTTGGTGCGAAGCCTGTTAACATGTTTGCTTTTTTTAATTTTTTTTTCCCTTATTACTTTTAAAGATTATTTTTGTCTGAATAATCTCTATATCTGTCTTCTTCTCTTTTTTTTTTTCTTTTAAATTTATTTTGTTAGAAGCTTGGAAGTCCTTAAATCAGATGAGAAAATAGAGATGGTGCTGGAACAAACTAATTGTAATATGTCTGTGCATTACAGTCAAGTCATGGATAACATCCCAACAGAAGGATCTAAAGAAGAATTTCACATCAATATTTTATAGAATGGAATTTTATTATTATTATTATTATTATTATTATTGTGTATTCTATGCAGCGGCAATGAAATATCTGACAATTTGCTTGATATTTTTCCAATGGTTACTTTCCATTTCACTTTCCAAGTTCAAACTGTGTCTTGTATATTGGTTACTTGATCATAAATATATACGAGGAATAATATAAGGCCATGTTTGATTCACAATATTAATAGTGAGGTATTAATAATCCTATCAAATTAGTGTGGTATTAACTATTCCACCCCTACCCCATTACTAATTATCCTACAAATTTGTTGGATTAATTATCCATTGGATTAATAGTCCTAAACCAAATGTCAAAACAAACATAGGATGGTTGGGCCCACGGATTAATAATCCTAATCCCATACTTTAATCCTTCCAATCAAACATGCCCTAAAAGTAATGAAAAGATGGAGAAGTTCTTGGAAACATGTTAATGAATTCCAAGAATGTTTCTCAAAAATTTTCAAAAAGTTTTCTTAAGAGTTTCCAGAAAGATTCATAAATGTTTCCATAGACTATCTTGTAAAGTTTCTTGAAATTTCCATCTTCCATCCCACTTTAACAATTCTCACAACCAGAAAAATGAGAAAAACTTTAATGAATATTGTTAGAAGCTCTCCTGTATAAAAAGTGCTTGTTTTGGTGATTTCATAACAGTACTTTTGTTTTGTGTTTGTTTGTTTGTTTTGTTTTGTTTTTTGTTTTTTTTTTGGAAGTGTTCCATAACATGAGATGAGAGACCCTATAGATGGTTAGTTGATCTTGGTCTAAATTCTGCAGTAGCAATGCAATGTGAACCGTTTTTGAAATCTATTGAACTCCAAATAAAAGTACCTAAATTGAGCCGAAAAATTCAAAAAATATAAGAATGTGTAAGAATTTAAACATCCCAACAATCATTCTTGTTAGAGATGCAACCCAATACATTTAAAAGTATTGTTTACTATGATTTAACCCAACAGTCAACTTCAACCCAAAAGGCACCTCCATAATACAAGTTTATCATGGACATTGTTTGCAACTGATGCGGGATGCCAACATTTCTCAAGCTTTAAATGATGAAACTACAAATAGAAAAATTATGCAAAAGAAAGCATATCATTATAATAATTTTTCCATCATTTTCTACAAGGATCTACGCTAGGAGAAGTTTTCAGGATTATCTGCCAAAAGTTCTTATATGTTCCAAAGTACAAGAGTTCCGAATTACGTTTAAATCTTAAAAATTGAGAGTTACACACTTACACTATTATAATTGGATGAGACTAAGTTGAAGTCTGGTTAAAAATCATGGCAATACATGGAGCTAGGTGGAGAAGATGATCCATGTATGACAGACCAAATTCACAGTAACAATCAAAGTTTTGTCCTAAAAAAATGCTATACAAAAAAACAAAAAAAAAACGAAAAAAAAAACAAACAAACAAAATTTTCTTACAAATTGAGTTGGTATGTAATAATAAAACATTTGAAAAAATAGGATGAGAAGTGATGGTGTGTCCGTATTATTATCAAACCAATTGAAATCCAAACTCTCCCCGAAGAACTTTTAATTCACCAATAAACCTTGTAAAAATTAAAAGATAGGGTCAATTACAAAAGAAAGACAAAAGATAAAAGAAAAGTTCTATTAATGATAAAAAGATAATACAAGAATCCTATATGACCATGATACATATACCTGAGAAACAAAATACATATACATTCAAAACTATCACTGAATTAAACAACACACCTCAACCTTCCTAGTTCCTCCACAAATATAAACTAACATAGAAAACAACAGACTTTCTTTATTAACCAATGGAAATATAAGATATCCTATAAAAAGTATAACTTTCACTGATCCACAAATCATTATACACAGCATTATAAAAGTAGGATCAATAAACCTAAGAATACAGACATAGAACACGGAAATAGTATAAGGAAGTGAATATCATGATCAATCATTCTTGAGGGTAGGTCTTGTTCTTGTTCTTGTTCTTGATTTTGTTAAGAGCAGCATCAAACATCATCCCCTTCACTGACTCATTGTTCTTGGGAAACACACTGCCCTTCTTGGGTTGGAACCTTGGCTTGCTCATTTCTCCACTCTCTCCTCCATTGCCCTTGCCTTTGCCTTTGTTCGCTCCGTTATTTTCCATCTCTCTGTCTCTGTCCCTTCTGTCTCTCTCTCTCTCAAATGAGTCTTTGTGTTGCTCACTTGCTTGCTTTAGAAGATCAAATGTTGCTGATATTTATAGAGGAGGATATCGTGTATTCTCAATTCTTCACAAATGCATGTGTATTTCTGTGTTTGTGTGTTTGTTTCTTTGTTTGTGGGGTGTGAATTCACTAAGCAATGCAATGAAAATCAACCGTCTTTACTTGGGTTTTTACACATTGTAGTATTCGTTCACGGAATTGCTTCTGTTTTTCTCCTCATTTGCCTATCACCATATGGTGGAAATTACCGAATATGATGTTTAAACCATATTTTTAATCAATTTTTGGGATCTAGAAATTGAAAATGGGCAAGAAAAACCATATTTTAATCAATTTTTAAGATGTAGAAAGTTGAAAATTAACTGCACAAATGAGGTGGTGGTGGGACTCATTTGGTTCATTGAGGAAGGTGAAACTGAAAATTGTGTCTGGCAAACTCAACACCAACTTTATTAGAAGAATACAAATTTTAGTTAAATGTGTGGAAAATTGCAAGTACTTCACCGGAAAACAACTTGCATAATCACAAGAAGTTTCCTTAAATAAAATAAAAATGATTTTAAAAAAATCTGAAAATATATAAAATGGAAATTATTAATAATGAAAGCATCCGGAAGAACCATCAAAAGGAAAACACGTTCCGGTGGGATGGGAAATTCCGAAGGAACTTTAAATGATAGTATTTGGAAATGTTTTTGAATCTTTCTGCAAGCTCTCATGGAAAACTTTAGGGTTAATTGCACTTTTCACCCCCGTAATTTGATCTAAATTTTACTATAGTTCATAAAATTTTAATTTGAACAATTTAACTCATACACTTTAAGTCTAGATTCAATTTAGTCATTTCGTCCAAATTTTTTGTCTAGGTGAACATCTTAAAAAATTGACAACCATTCTAAAATTGTTAATTTTAATCTCTAATTTAGATGGAAGAACCAAATTGAAACTTTAGAAAATTAGCAAGTGTCCTTAAATTATTAATTTTATGGAAAATTATGCAGATAGTCCTTGTATTTTGCTTTTTGTATCATTTTGGTCCCTATAATTTTAATTGGCTCGCTTTTGACCTTAAATTTTTGACTGTGTCAATTTAGTTCTATTTCTTACAATTGCTAGTATTTTTTAATAAAAAATATGCAGATAAGTGACATATGTCATGCTTTTCCAAACAAAATTATAAACTTATTTAACTCAGTGAATTAACTTCAATCAATTTAGTGGTAATTTTTCATCAAGAGAAATGCCTTGTAGCTCAATTTTTATTGAGGCTCGAGTGGCCCGAAGTGTTCTCTCTCCTCTCCTCTCCTTTCTATCTCTATCTCTGTCTTTGTTCTCTCATTTGTTTGGAGAGTTAGAGAGGGGATTAAGATTGGTAGTGAGGGAGGATCCACTAATATTGTGTTTGTTTTGAGAGATGGGGAAGGGATTAATAGTGAGCTCCAAATTAAAATGGGCCTCCCCAAGGGGATTTAGATGGGCCTTCAGGACTTGGTATTAGAAAAATAATCTGGCGGACTAAAATTTTTTTATTTTTATTTATTTTTTATTTTATTTTTTACATGTTGGGCATTTTTTTTTTTGAACATTAATGTTTAATTTTTTGTATTTTTTGTTAAGTAAAAATCATTATTTTATTTTTTTTATTTTTTTATGGAAATTTTTTATTTTATTTTTATTTTTTTAAAATTTTTTACATGTTGGACATTTTTTTAAAAACATTAATGTTTAATGTTTTTGTATTTTTTGTATTATTTTATATTTATTTTATATAAAAATAATTTAACAATTCCTACACTAACAACTATCATCAAAACAAACACAATTTTACCTAATCCCCTCACTAACAATCCCCTCCATTCTATCTCTGAAAACAAACAGGGCCATAAAGAAGAGAGAAGAAGAGAGAGAACACTATATCAATTCTCTCACTATCAATCCCCTCCATTCTACCTCTAAAAACAAACGAGCAATAGAGAAGAGAGAAGAGGAGAGGAGAACAGAACAAAGATAAAGAGGAGAGGAGAAAGAACACTATATCTGTTCTATTCTCTCTCATTTCCACTCTAAGGGTTTGCGAGAAAGGAAGGGGAAGAGTGAGAGAGAGAGAAGGGTCGCAAGCGACGTTGATGGTGGCGCCGGTGGGTGGAGGGGTTTGCGACGGTGATGGCTGTGAAATCATACCCACACCTCCTCTGCAACAGTGCTATATAAAAGAAGATGATTCACACTCTCCTCATTTCTTGCATTTACAACACCAATCCAACAAGAATACTCCCATCCTCAAATTGTAGGACTTCATAATGGACTAAAAGCCGCTGTTT